GCAGCGACAGGTGAACGGCAGCAGCAGTATGTTGTGCATGGTGGCATGTTGGGCTTGTACAAAGACGCAGTATATCTTCGACCACACACAAAGGAGTTTGTTCGTACCTGTCGGAGTTTTCGAGGGCCCAAGTCAGTCTCAAGCAGCAGCAGGAAGGAGCGAACAGGCGCAGTGCTTCTCTACAGCTTTAGACTCCGTCCTCCTCAAATCCTGACGGAGATGATTACGTATCGCACAACGGCTGGATCCGAATTGCCGGCTAGCTCCGAAAACCAGGAGAGGTGGGGGAGTAGCTCAGACGAATGGCTGCGTGTGCGCTCCTTCATGTGCATACTTGGCTGACTCTTTGAAGGGTGGAATTCTGGTTCAGTGGAATTTTGGCGGCGTTTCGGCATTTCCGGTATTTGCCGTTGTCACCTGGATGCATGAGAATTTTGGCGAGGAAGTCGGTCATAAATTTGTCACTCTACTTGCAAGGGACACGTTTCATTTTCAGTGTTCCCCCTTGCGGTTTCGCTTGAGAGCATTAGTAGATCAGGAACGGTACGCAGGACCAACGTTACCCTTGTGGACCAAGAAGGTTGACAGTTGCTGCTCCATGCCTTGGTATTTTCTTGTATCGACAGCAGTACTAGTGTTGCTCATGGTTGACAGCCGACAATATAGCAAATGATGTTAAAATACTGTAAGAACAAGAACGCCCCTTTCTGGAGAAGAATGGACGACGAAATAAGAACTTGGCAAATAAGAACTGGTGCTCGGGTTGGGGCAGCCAATACGAACTGAGCCTCGCCCAATATAGGAGGTTCTTAAGTGCGGGCCGGCACTGTACTGCTGTGCGTCAGCGTTGGTTGGACTCTGCATATGATACAGCAACAGAGCATGATCTGTTCGTGCTGTTGTACGTGTTGTTGCCGAGGTGTGCTGTTTCTTGTTTGCTTGAAGTCCGGCACGCCTGCTTGCCGCACACGGTTACGTCCCGCACCTCTCTGACTGGAGCTTGTGTACACTAAAGTGGGCAAAGTGAGCGTGTCTGCGTAATGCCAACTACGAGAACCGAGCGGAGGAAAACAAATGTGCTTGTCTTTTATGTGTTTGCAGTGTTCCATATCATCATAGACTCGGCGTATCATATGCACTCCGAGTTTCATTTTTTTTACTTGTTTCTTCAATCCGTACTCGGCATGGCGAAAACAAGTTCTACTCCATCCGTACCGGTCGTGCGGAACGAGACGAACGGAATATCTATCCCGTCTCCCACGCAGGAGGCAAACACATACGCCAGACAACAAAACGCAAAGAGGAGGACAGAGCCATCACCCTTGACGGTCAACGCATGGAATAATAAATAATACTTAGTCTAATTGTCTTGATCAAAGGTGGAGAAAGAGCAGGTCCCGCCGATAAATACATCTACAACAACTCAACACCAACAGATATTTCGAGTTCCCAACCCTCAAATTGACATGTGCCCACTGGCGGGTCCTACAGCGGGCGCGGGCGAGGTCTCAGGCCTTGAAGGAGAGTACCTGTACTCTGAAATATTGTTGCTTTCGAAAAAGTCCGATAGTTTGTTCTGCTTGAGTGCAACGTTGCCTGTCAACTTCAGTCCTACGGCATTCATGTAGGCGATCGCGACTGCGTCCGTGAGGGTGCTGACCTGTTCAAGCTTCAAAGGCACCCCGCTTAGCGACTCTTTCACTCGCTCTATCTCTGCCCCCTCTGGCGCGCTTCGATGCCGGCGGCGGTGTCGAAGTAGAAGTCGAAGCAGAGGACGTCCTGACTATCGTATCTACCCCTTGGTGACATCATCAGCCCCTCTACAACAGAGGTCGTCGTACAACCACTCCAGAGCGAGCAGCGTGCGGTTCCTCCTCCGTCTATCCGCGTACCTGGGGCATTGTGCGGGTGATGAGAACGAGTAAGAGCGGACTAGTCGTGGCATCTTTCGCTACCACACATATATGATGCTTTACGATACTCAACGCAGCTCTCGACAAAGACATTTTGCGAAAATTTCGTCGACAGTTGTTTTCGCGTATGTCCTGAGGAAACAGTCCCGCGACTATCTCGCCGACATCAAATTTGACGATAGTGTACCTCTTCAGAAGGAGGTATATTTCCTCCTTCCTTTCGCTTTGCGCAGCTCCGTACGCGTGAATCTTGGCGTCCTCCCCCAACAGCAAAAATAGGCAGTCCGGAGAATCAATGACCCTCAAACCGATGCGCCACGTGCCATCCATGCACAGGAACTGCCCCCCATACTGCGAGTGGATTCGCGTTGCATGTGCTCCTTGTCCTGTGGATGACGACAGAACGCAAAACCGGATGCACCAATGCATTTCTCGTAGCTCTCGGCCTTGCTCGCCTGCGACCAGGATCCTGCGACACGTCTTCATGTTCAGTGGAGCAAGCAACAGCAAACACATGGGGCGGATGACCAACGAGCTTTCAGTGGAGCCACTCTTATCACAGCGTAAATCAAGGAGGACAATCAGAGTGCAACCCAGCTGCCCAGACACATCACGATCGAAAAAGAAACGGAACCGCTTTCAGCTTAGGGTTGCACCTGCAGATCGCCCTCCGTCGCCCTCACTTGGTCCAGTAGAGTCTCTGACGTGCCATTTTGCCTAAAGTAGCGAAAAGGCAATCGCGAGACAAACTCCTCAGGTAGCAACTGCATGTACCTGCCCAAGTTCAGTGGTCAAGTGACCCAGCGAGAACATGTAAGCATAGGCGATCCTTGTGCGTGTAATTTTCGCACTGCAATGCGATGCCAAGATTGAAGCTAAATACTACTACACGCTTAAATAAAATCATCACCGTACCTGTCGTCCATTGTGGTAAAGGAAGCGCCGTTTGGGCAATGCTCGCGGATGGTGGCCTCGTCCCACCCGTCATCCGCAATGACCAATTTTTTTTGTTGGCCGCCTTCTTGGCACTTTCCAAGACGAGTGGGCACCCTGAGGCCGTGCAGGAATACCTGCCCGCCAACGGAACCACGACCCTGCCAACGTCGGGTACCGCGCGTACCTGCCGTAAAAAGAGGGCTAATTACAAAGAGAAGAATACGGAGAAAGACGGCATTCAGAACGTGTCGGAAATGAGAAGGACCCAAAGACTTAGCGCGCGTGTTCTTACAACAGATGACTCTTCCGGGACTACCGACATAAACGGACGGCTCACAAGCAACAGATATATCAACCAACAGCGAACCAAAACCAACAGGAAATCAAGTCGAAAAACAACTTCATACCGCAAACGTTCTGCTTGCCTTTTGAGCACCCGCATTTGGGAAGTCATGCCCTGATACTCAGAAGGTTTCACTTCCGAGTTCGATTTGCATCCTGGACAGATCATCCTGACTCCCTTCGCCCCGCCGGGGGTTGTCACCTGAAAAGAAATCAACACAGGGGGAGAGGGCTCTTTACGTCAGGCCTTGTTCCGATGCTCGTTTCTGTTCAGGCGGTGTCCCTTGTATGAGGTGAGAGGGCTAATCACTGACAGAGACTCTTGAGTGCGGCGGCGGCAGGTCTCATCAAGAGCAAAACTTTCCACCAACAAAACAGAGTTAGGCGCTTTCTTTCAGAAGTTCTGAAGGTTCCCGTCATGCAAACTTCAAACAAGAGTTATGGGCTTGCCGCAGCGGAAGGGAGGGGGGCATACCGACCAACAACGTCGACATTGGCATGAGCCGATAGATCATGAGCGTGCGCAACACTGTAATCCTTGTCAACCAAAATGCACTATACTCAACAGAAAACTAGTCACAACAACAATTTGAATATGCGACGACTTTTTGTGTTTTTACTTCATCTTTCAGCACGCACCTTCGGCACGCAGGCGCAACATCTTACAAAGGCCAAAAGAGTCGGGTACCGTCATCGGCTCCTTCGCTCATTCATGCACTTGCCTGGATAGCTGGAATGCCGACCAATTCTTCCAAGAAGACCACCTCGTGCACGTAGAGAGCGAACACAACTTGTGTCGTCGCGAAAACGGCCATGGCCGACTCCTTCAAAAGCACACCAACGATCTCTCCGTTCTTGACCCGGGTACTCATCGCTGGTGTCACTTTCGCCGCTTTCATCGCCGCAGCGGCGCGCTTCTCCGGGCTGTCTGCGGGCCGGCATATCGGGGCGTCAGGGAAACGTCGATGAAACGCTGCCGCTACATGCTTGGGCGGCAGATGCCACTCCTTCATCCACTGTGGTGGAGTCAGCGTGCCGTTGCCGGCTATCTTGGGGAGAGTGTGTAAGACCGTCCTCGCTTGTTTCGCGATGGCAGTTTGTAACTCGACATCCATCCATCGCTCCCGATCTCCCTCCTTTGCCTCTTCCTCCGGCGCTTCTTCTCCGTCGACGCACTCTTCACTTTCGTCCATGGGTTCTTCCTCCGCGTATCTACTGGCTGCCGACTACGAGGCGCCCACGCCGCAAGGGTCACCGGCGCCCACGCCGCGTAGGTCATCGGCTGAAGATCCGGCACCAGCTGTAACCGTCTGTCGTGAAGTCTAGAAACTTGACCAGAATGACAACATGATGAAAAAAAACCCTAGGCGCCCCCGCCGCCGCCGACGTCGCCGCCGCCCCTCTACCTTCAGATATGCCACCCGACAGTGCTGCTGCTACTTCTGCTCCTGCTGCTGCTGCTGCGGCTGCGGCTGCTACTTGTGAGCTCATGTTTGGATTCTGGGAGCTACCACGGCTTGAACTCGGCTCTTCCCCACTCACGCCTCTGTTGCCCACTGTGCCGTGGCTATCGTAACTTACTCGCCACTCGAGCCTCTCCTCCGATTGATCGCAATGAGCTCAGAAGTGATCAAATCCATAAGGATTCAGGTCGAGACTAACTGCGATGAGATCCTCATGTGTCCCGCGTTCTGATGCCTTCCACACATTGGGCCCGGAACGGCTGCTGTGTGGGCGCTTCGTATCTATCCGACCTGCCTCTGTCGGCCCTTCCGTAGTTTCCGCGACCTCGTGATCCAGTTCCTGCTGACGACATGATGATCGAGCCTGGGCTGACGATCGGCCGCCCCACTGCCGCCGCCGTTTGGCGCTTTGCCTCTCGCTTCTATGAGATGCGGTGGGGTGTTGTGAAAAGTGCGATGTAATCGCGCCGCACTTGTTTTTGGGGCAAAAACATTCCAGACAGTGTGCCCCCTTTGAAAAAAGACAAGGTGGAAATTTGCCCCAATGTACACTAAATCCATATGATCGATGCACAGGGGTCCATTTTATTTTGGTATACCTTTTCTAGGTACGTTAGCCTGTGACCACGGAAATTGGCCGAGTCAAGTGATGGATTAGTACGGAGAGATTGAGACAGAAGGAGGTACTGGATAGAGAGACCGGGATGGTTTTTAATGTGAAGACAACAACAACAACAACAACAGTCGGCTTCCTGGTACGTACGAGGCCACAGGAGGGGAGGGGGTTCGCAGATATATTCAGTACTGGCGGCCGCAGAAGTGCGGCGCAACACGACACAGACCGGTGTGAAAAAAAAAAGTCGTTTGTTGAATTATCATTGAACGTTGAACCCAACTTTTTGCACGCTGGCAAAGGACAACAAGACAGCAGTTGAGGTCGCACGCCACGCGTAGGGAAGCAGCTCACGATTTCCTTCCAGAGGTGTCCATCACTCATTCGGGCGGGTTGACGGTCATTTGGATATTCAAACACGCGGCGGGCGTTCTCAACAACAGCAGTAGTAACCGTCTCGGCGCTGACTAAAGACTCACAGCAGTAGAGCGAGTGGGTTTCGACCACGAGCTGGTTTGTTTGGTGACGACCGAGAGGATGATGCCCAAAGGGCTGCCGCATTCCAGCGCTGGACTTCTACGCCTCCAACGTGTCACGCCAGTGGCGACTAGGTATCATGCGCCAATCTGCAGCAGACGCATGTCCTCGCTGGCTTTTTCATCAGGTGAGATATATCCTTCCATGATGATATCTAGTCTAGACTATTAATAGTCTACATACAATCCGCACGTACCATCTTGTCGGCCGGGAGATAAGATGTGTTGCGGAGAGTGGCAAGTGCGCTCTCTGTGGTTACAAACAAAGCGAGTTCGAGCGTACATGTAGGTTCATGGCCGAAAGAGAAGTCGCGTCGGTCATTGGGCAACCTTAAACAACGAAGGCACCAAGTAGTCTTACGTTCTGTTTTGCTTGGACGCAAGTGAGCCAGACAATCGCTCTCTTTGAGATGTGAGTATGCATGTGTGGATTGTGTCTTACCTTGCAGTTTCCCCAGGAGACGGACATACTAGTAGTAAGGACGGAAGGAGAGGTAAAGACGGAGGGTGACTCCAACTTGGGATGTTTACTATAGTCTAAAGAGTTTGGCGGTTGTACCGGCGAACGACACCCCGAGCTGATTTCCACCATTCCAACCGCGACAATATTTCTGCCTACATGAAGAAACAGATACTAACGATGCTACTTTTTAACTAGAAAGTACTCCTTATTGAAATACGTGAGAAATGACCATATTTGTGTGTGCTCATCTCCAGAACACAGAAGACTCTGTGACGCCTATTCACCCATTGCAGCCAATTCTCAGAGACACGTTGAAGTACCCATACACAATGTTGAGGCTCATCTGTTGGGCACTAGAAATCGTTAAATCTGTTTACTGTAGGTCTTATCACTGAGCAGTGGATGTTGTCACTCACACACAATTGGAGAGCAGTGTCGATCCGCTCAATTGAAGCACGTTCAACAAGAAGCAAGGCTCTGATTTCAGGAAGGAAGAAATGGCGTATGAAATTGGGCTCAGCCGCCGGCGTCACGCTGAATCCTATTTACGCAATGACCGGAGCTCAATCGTGCGGAAACAATTAGGCCTTGAGCTTTGCAGAAGTAGGTGTTTCTTGCGAGCGGGACAGCATTGCACCTGAAGAGTCCAGCAGGTAGATACAACTTGGCGCAAAGAGAACAAGGGCATGGAATAGCTGCTTTTCGATTATCTGTTCACCGACTTTGCTTTTCCTGCCAAACCGACCAAACAGATTTTGTGTTCGCCAGAATGACCTGCATCTCCTTTTTCTGTCGCCCTGTCCTGGGATATGATTTTGTTTTCGCGCAGTTGATCCAGGAAGCTTGTCCGGGAGCAACCCTCACACTGTCAAGAATCTATGTGAGTAACCGCGTGTTTTGTAGGCAAGATTTGCAGAATCGTCGTCCTTGACTATGTCAATCAAACATCGAAGTTTACCTACCAGTCAGTGTGGAAGATGCGCTCGACTTGTTTAGATCATTGCGGGTGCAGCAGGGGGGCACAAGCGTGTGGAACGGTTGACCAGTCGGAGATTGCGCAATAAAAGCGGTCAACGCTGCGAAACGCTTGAAATTCGCCACAAGGTGCAGTGGAAGTCGGCCCTAACAGCACGCGGAACCTGGCGGAAGCATCTTTAACGCGCCCTTCTCCACTGTGCTTCCACGGAAACGCTTGAGTTCTGGACCGTCGTGCGCACCTGACGGGCCCGTCACGTACGCGTTCACCCCTTTCTGAATGGCTGAACTTAACCCTACTTTGTGGACGATTCCGCAGGCCACACAAAGCAGTTTGTGTTTTTCCTTACGCCTGTTTCTCCTCGGATCCGGTCCCCTTTGCGTAGAAGTCGACTGCCGCTGTTGATGTTCCCTCGTTCCTCGCAATCGCCGACATTACCACAACACAAGTGGGCGGGCGCTGGGTGGAGTCATCAGCACACGAGACTCTTCCCGACCCGCTCAACGGCGAGCCTTTCCTCAAGGTAATCCAAGCTGCGGAGGCAACCAACTAATAATGCACGTTTTGCTGCCTACCCCTGTGTCTCCTCAATATGCAAGATCGACTTCTTGGCCGTCGAACGAAAAAGGTTTCGGTCTGTTGCTCGCAAGAACTGTGCAACGCCAAGCGGTTCCAGCAAACCCCCAACGAATGCATGTCAATCAATCGCCAAAGGATTCTTGATGGGAGCATCAGCACAGATCGGCTCAAGAGTGACACAGCATCCTGTCACGACAAGCGTTTCAAATCATGTTCGAGGGTAAATACAACGGTGCACGACAAAGCCCCCTTCCGGTTGCCATCACGTTAGGTTCCCGCGACTACACCGAGTGAAGCACAGGCTTTCGTTGCTAGCCTCGAATTGTGCTCCAAGAGCGGGCTGCACAACCCATTCAAGAGTCCCGAGAGGTGATCAATAATGTCAGCTGGTCGTCGGTATGACAGAGTTTATGGCTGTGGGTGTAGTCGTAGCGCGGCGCGTTTGTCGGGACGGCAATATATCCGCTGAAAAGTACCAAAGTCAGCACCGCCAACTCGTGTCCTTATGGGTGAGTTTTACCGCCGATGAAGAATACTACGGCGGGGAGAAACTGGAGGTGGTTTCACAAACAAACTTGTTTGTGGCGGTAGCGTCGATATGTCGATATTGGCGTTCACTGGGTCGGTGTTGCACTGTTGTTGATACTGGCACCAATGATGGGGGCGTTGTCCGCCGTGAGTGCCGGGGTAAGTTTGGCGGGTTGCTGTCGTTGCTGCTGGCATTGACGCGTTGGCTGTGTAGTCGTTTCTGCCGGGTGTTGCTCAGGTATTAGTCGGCCTGAATTTTCGCTGGCTGCTTCACAGACTGGAAATCATGGTGTGTGACGGCATACCGTCGAGAATTCTGTTGGCAGATATTGAGGGGGAGCGCGCGAAGGAGCGCTTCTGACAAACTCGGTCACGTTCCCTGCTTTTAACGAAAAGCTGCTGTACACCTGTTGTCCCTCTACTTGTGCTTGTTCATTCTTCTTTGATGCCATGTTGTTGCTGGTCGTCTACTCTTTGATCTTCCCAGATACCTGGCATACGGAAGCGCCACCGCCAAAGCTGCAGCCCTCATGTCGGTGCCTGAAGTCGAAGACTTCTTCACGAGGCTCATCATGAGGGTGGCACCCAAGAGCTACGCCCAAGCCAACGGGGAGGTTGTCGTGACGCGGCGTTTCCTTGAAAATTTCTCGGGTGAGTGCTGTGCGAACGCGGGGGGGGTGTACTCATAATCGCGCATGCCGTAGTCGTTTGGCAGGTGATCTCGCACACGTAAAAAGCCGGGACGGAGCACACTGTGTTCGAACGCGGGGGGTGTACTCATAGTCTTGCATGCCGCAGTCGTTAGACCATTGACCTCGCATCCCTACAAGGCCGGGACGGAGCACGCCGGCTTCTCACCGGACCAGGCCCTCACATCACCAAGCGCGAAGCGCCGTGAGATACTCGGCGAGTCGCATGAAGGGTGCGCTGCATCCTGCTAAGGGTTTTCGGCATCTTGTGCTTACTTCCTTGCGTACGGATGACAGCTGCGTATGACTTAATTTATTTTCTGGTGCTTTCACTTCCAGAGACAGTTGTAAGCACTGTGTAACTGCCTCGAGGGTGCTTGACCATTTTAACACAACGTGGTGCGATCATCCCCCTTGCGCGGAGTGAGGGTTCTCCACCCCGCACAACATGATCTACTCGACCACCATTATGGCTACTGGAGGTAAAAAAAACAAACGGTAACCTGGTTGCCGAGTTCACGAAGTGAAATGGCATGTTTTTCAACGTCGTTGCCAAGCGACGAAAACCCAACCTCGATGGCAAACACC